ACTAGTTAATAAGCCTTGGGGCGCTCGAAAATGCTGATTTGGGGCGCTTGTGAATTAAGTTTAGGGCGCTCGTGATTTAAATTTGGGGCGCTCATATTTGTACATTAGGCGACGGTAAAAATGTTTGGGGCGCTCATGCATGGGGCGTTCTGGTTTTCGGGCGCAGTGACTAGCACCCTCTCTATATGAGTGAATAATTCTCTAACCAATCAATCAATCTAATTGACACAATACGCTGACCTAAACTGCATCAACTGACAAAGTTCGATGATCCTAGGCTGTAAATATCTCAAATATTGAAATAAAATTGCAAAATTCTAATAATTCATTTTTTTTCCAGATATCGTGGCAAAAACATATAACAGATGAATTTTATTGATAAAATCTTACAGGTACTCTCACCTTGAGCGTAACATAACTTTCATTTTACAAAATGATGTTTTTTAATCAAAAGAAATTGATCTGTGTATATGGATTGTACCTGTTCTATATGTCTTTGAAAAATAACAATCTCATACTTTCGTCATTTGCTCTCTTTGGCTTAAAGTTTCATTCGATGCAAATAAATATAATAAATGTACATAGTTTCAGAAAACATTTCTTACTAAACTTCAAGCACTTGCTACCAGAGCATTAAAGCAATGGTTGAAAAGTCAATTACATGGTTGAAAAGTCAACAACATGGTTGAAAAGTCAATAACATGTATTTCTCTTTTGTTTGAAATCATTTACCTTGAATAAGTATATCTAATAAAATGATTGCAAAGACATTACCTACAATGGTACATATATAATACCTGCATTCAATATTAAAAATACATCAATTTATTTTAGGGATGTCAAATCGGTCAATATTTAATAATCGGTTACTCGGACGTTTTTCCGATCGTGTACCCGGGTACTCGGTAAAAATGAAAAAAAAGTGTGCTCTTGAGCCCCGTTAAGCTCTGATAAACCCCAAGGTTGTTTTTATCACGTTTATTAATGTATATAAAGATCGATTCTAGCGGAAATGGTTTTTGTTGCTAGATTTATTTATCAAATAAACACAAAATACAAAATTTATACACCGAAAATTACAAATGTTTTACAATTCTTGTTTAGGATCTACTAGTATTTGATCAATGCAAAGTAAGGACAATCTGTTGCGCAGGTTTGATGATCAGACTAGCGAAAGAGAAGGAACGGAATTTGTTGGGATCGCTAGTCTAATATTATTTCATATGTTGGTTGTTTCCCCCGTATACACTAAACTTGCGACGCGAAATGACTCAACATTTTCTGATTCTTTAGTTATTTCTAAATATTTCTTCACTTTTGAAGTGGGTAGCGGCATTTCTATGCATGCCCGATTTCGCTGCCGTATATTAACTAAATAATTTTAAAATGATTTAAAGATAATATCATAGACCATACTTAAATGATGTTCACTGAAAACAATCATTGAAGCCATCCAAAAAATGACCACAATACGTGAGAACAGCTGTGTACGAAATGATTGGTCACTAATTACTGTATATACACAGGCGATATAACGGGTGTTTTACGGGGGTTTGCCAAACGGAGATCAGACTATAATTGCTATCAAAACATATTTCACACCTAGTGTTCCATACCTAATTATTGAATGTGTGCAAAACGGGAACACACTTTTTACGGGTGTAGATGACGACACGCTAATTACCGTATGCATATTTAAGTTATTTTTTGAAAAAAATATGTAGTTTGAAATAAGAAAAAATATACATCCGAGTAACCGAGTATCATTTTTAGTATTCGATACTCGGACGTTCGATCGAGTACCCGGTTAAGCGGGTACTCGTTGACATCCCTAATTTATTTGACCAATAATTAGAGTGTTCCAATGAATGCATGTGTCGCCTGTTTTGTAACTTCATTAGAAATGTAAATGAATATAAAAGTGGTCAGTATTTGTCAACTACTAGTATAATAGTTCATGCATTTGCCTTCAAAGAAAAAATATAGATAGTATAAGACTGCGTTAGAATCTGACAATCAAAAAAAAATATGATTCCCCAACCCTCAAATGAATGATTAAATTGAAATTATTAGAAACAATTATTTATCATTTTATTAATACGTTTTTCTGGTATCCTCCTAAAGAGATTTCAGTCTGTCTTAACTGCATCTGTCAGTCTACATGATACATTGTGGAATACAGATCCCGATATATCTTCATAGTATTTATATATGTTTGTGTGGTAACTTAATATCATACATTTTCAAAGTACAGTACCTAGTATTATGAGCTCATAAACATGTATAAATGCTAATTATCAAAAACTGCTTCTTAAACTTCAAAAAAACTTATATAAATTAAACTGTCCGGAGAACTTTCTTCAAAGTAGTCAAAGGTCAAGGTCAAAAGGACTGTAACGCTGGTGTTTAGTGTTACCCGCCGTCTTTCCGTCCGTAAGGAGAGGGCTTATATAGGCATAGCCTGCTGCTTAATGTATTAATTTTGTATATCGGCACTATTTTGAAAAGTTGGTCGAAGGTCAAGGGTCACAGGTCGGTAACCATTGTAATGCACAAAAGCCATAGTGCCAAACAATATATGTGCAAAATAACAATTCTATACATCTTACAGTTCTCGAGGTATAAGGTGTGGCAGACGGACAGACAGATGCCTGGTAAAGTGATCCCTAAGTATCGCTCCGTTCTGCAGGCGACAAAACAATCTTAAAGATCGCAAAACATTGAAAATGTACTGTAAAAATTATTCAGTAAAACCTAGATATAATGAATCCCTCTTAACCAAACTGGTTTCATTCACATCGATTTCTCCCAAATAAAGTATCCCTTTCCTTGAACATTGTCAATACTTGTATATTTTCCACACCCAAGTGATATGCATTTTACAATAACTGGAAAAAAAGTTCATATCACTTGTTATAATGGCATTTTCTTTATAATAATGCTAACAGTTCAATTAGTTTCTTGATTTATTGAATCTTCAAAATAGATAAACCCTCAAGCCTAATGCTTCTATACAGAAGACAAGAAATGGACATTAAAATCATAATGCACCTACATTTACGTGCATTATAACATATAAACAACTGGCCACAGCCAGGGATCTGAACTTCTTTTCAAGCTTTCGGGAAATATAAATATCAAAAAAAAAGGAAGATAATTTTATCATCAAGCATATGGCCTGCTAAAGAAGTTCAAGAACAAATAAAATTTTGGAGGCATTGGGCCATCTTTGGAGGCCCACCAGAGTTGGTTTACTGAAATTTATACCCCCTCCCCTTCCACTTAACGAAACAGATGGAACTGAAAAAATCCGAATATCTAAGAACAGACAAGTATTTGAAGCAGGACATATGCGCAGAGTTATAGTAAAATGGAAATATTTGCCCTTTTTGCTATTGAGGTAGTGAAAGTTTTTTTTTATTCAAAATTTAAAAAAAAACATATTTAAACTAAAAAATTGATAAGTGTTGTTGCAGTATATATATATATATATATATATATATATATATATATATATATATATATATATATATATATATATATATAAAGAGCTACTTTCTTACATTAGGAGTCTTCATAAACTGAATCTGACTGAAAGACGATGGTGTTCCAGCAAGATTAACTGCTGGAGGGCATATTATTACAATGTACCTATATAAAATTAATGTCTTCCTCATTTCGACACTAAGACAAAATTGAAAAAAAAAAACAAATCCTTATGCATACATAAAAATACAGACATAATGAGTCTGCAAAACAATGGCATTATATGAAGAAAGTGCACCCATTGCTAAAATTATCAAAATATATTAATACATCAAAACATAATAACACAGAGTCTATGTTGCATTGTGCTTGTATGAATGTTATAAATCCTATTTATCAGGTTGCAGTCAAAAAGAACATTTTTATATACATTTTTGAATACAGGTTTCTATGGGAAACATTCCACAATATGAAATAGCAAAAATGTAATTCTTACAAAAGTTTGAATAGGCAATAAACTGTGTGTAAAATCACTTATTTCCGAGGGGTCGAATTTTCGAGGTTTAAAGAAAAATTACTGTTTCGAGGGACTAAAATTCGTCATTAAAGTTGAACCAATGCACTATAGTGCGAAATTTGTAATTTGAAATTCGTTAGGGATATGAATTCGTTCGTCTCTTTGACATACAAAAAAAAAAAACAAAGAAAATTAAACACCCAGGAATATTAGTAATTTCACAGTACGCGGAGAATAATGTACACATTGATTGTCAAGTTGAATTTTATCAACATATCTGTAGATAAAGTTCCTTTTCGAATTACACTGTGGTATAACTGCGTTGTGGTTACTTTACATATATTTTCTCGCCTGTGACTATTTTTATTAAAACGCTTTTGTCATCGCCTTATGTGTCTTTTGCTGTTGAGTCTTAGTTACCATTTCATTGCAATGTATTTTACTTACACGAGTTCAACAGCTGCTTTGCATTCCTTATCCTTGTTGCTGTTTTCCCATTACATATTCTTCTATTTAAGGTTCCATTCCTTTGGTTTTCTATAAACACGTTGCTGACTGAACACATTATTGAATGTCGATGATCTTACTCATCCAATTAGCATGTACTTTTTTCTTTATTTCAATTCCTTAGGCTGCATCTCCATTTTAATGCAAAACCTCACTCAATCTTAGGCATACTCTTTATCATTCCAAATTTAATAAAGATTAATAGAAAATTCAGATACTGTTACTTTTCTTTTAATATCGGAAAAAAAAATTCTAAAGATTTTTCCACAAAAAGGATTATCCTTTTTTCAAAATGGAATTCGAAAATGAAAAAAAATTATATACATGGTTTCTTTGATCTCTTTTAGTTTAAGGAAGGTAAATAAGATCAATTTTCCTTTCTTTCACTACAATTTCATTTCACACTTTTTAAAATTACTTTTCTCCTTCAACTTGCGCGCGCAATCCCTGGATTTATACATATTTTTTAGGGAAATATGGGAGTTTCCCACATATGAATTTTGACTTATGAATACTGCAATGCAGGGCCACCTGTTTGAGATAGTAAAATGTTGGGATCTGTTTCACTAGATCTGAAAAATAAAATACTGATATGATAATATATCGAGATGAACGACATTAAATCCATTAATTTTTGTTAACCAAACCTTGTAATACATTTTGCTTAAAAGATTTTAGTTCTATAGCAATTTTCTTAAAGCTGTTAAAGTTGTGTATGCAACTTTTAATTTTTGGTAAACTAATCAAACGAAAGATAATCATGGTCAACGGTGAATTCAATATCATCAATGTAAATACTTTGTGTTTGGTGTCCAGTGTCCTAATTATTTTATTGATTCCCAGCTCCTTTTTATTTAAATATAAACATATTCCCTAAAATGCAGTGTTTGAAGTTCATAATTTTCTATTTTTACGATATCAATATTCATGTACTGAGTGACGTCTTGTAACATTTCTTTCTTGGACTTTTAGATGTTCAGAGCTCCATTTACTTTGAGATCAGTAGTTTTCAATTTGATTAAAATAAAGAATTTCATTAATAAATTAAAGATTCTATCTATGTAGGTAGAGTGTGAGTTAGAGTGAAGAGAAAACATTATATCCTAATATCTTTTTACCCTGATATCCTGATATTTTTAAGTTCATCCACCATTTCTGCTTGTCTCTCCATCAGCTTTTTGTTTTGCTCTAAACTCTCACTAATAGCTATACTTTCGTCATGTAATGTTTGAAATCTGCACAACAAACAGAAAGACATTAACTATTCACTTGACATAATCAAGATACCAGAAGAGGGACTCCGGGTTATAAGCAAGATATGATAGTAAACACTTGCTCTTCCATTTCATTTTCAAAGATGTATTTCACAAATTGCTACATTCAAGGATATGAAATGTTATATGCTCAAAGGGTTTCTTAATACAGAAAAATATATTTGGTCATGATCATTTTTCAGAACATGGGGTATCATGTTGCTATTTCTCATCCTTTTAACTGAACAAGTGTCTTATATTTCACTATTTTTTTTTTCGGTCAAATACGCACCATTTTTAAATGAAATTCAGTAACCAACATTAGCTATCAAAAATCAATAATGCCAGAAATTAGCTTTTCAGCAAATGATTTCATGAAACTAGTAAAAAGAATCATACCCAGATTCTAGTTTATGAGCAATACTCTGCATACTTTTCGGCAGAGCCATGGATTCTTGTACACCAAGTCTTTCTTGTTTTAATTCTGTCGATTTTAATCCATAGTTTGAACTGCCAGAGTATTGATTATGTTCATTAGAATTTCCTATTCCCGAATCTGCCCCCTTAGATTTACTCCCATATCCACTTTCATCTTCATCTTTTGTGGATATATGAGAATTTTGAAGTATTAATTGTATCACCGGAGATAACTTTGCCGAAACTTCTTTACACTCTTTTTCCATCTAAAATAATTATACATTCTAAGAATACATGTACATACTTAATCAATTCTTAATCATGAAAGGATTACAATCACTAGACATCAAAGTTATTCATTAGCATAATAAGATGTTAAGTAAGCAGTTCTAATTCATTTTATATACTTATTCTAAATGCATTGGGAACATGTCTTTAATTCATATGCATTAGCATACGACGGTTGTCCATAAAAATCATGCACAAATACCATAACTTCCTCAATAATGACCGCACTGACAAACGTGTACGATAATAATCTAATATAGACCATGATTTAGAAAAATTACAAAAATCAAAACAGTACACATTATTTTACGAACGATATAGGACTGGTGTAAATACTTTATACAGTGTATATGCAAGCCACATGGCCAAGTCTGACGTAAGCTAATTACATGTTTTGGATATCTCTGTTTGATCTGCTCCTGATTTGTATTGTATAAATGGACTTTGAGCTTGAATACTGTTCGTTATCTCCATATTTTATGATACAGTCAAATGTATGGATTATGAGTTTTTAACTTCATGGACACACGCTGTATTTTTTTTTTATATTATACCACACTGCTAAGTTTCTGCAATAATGTTTATGCATAGCCCATAATTGATTAATTTTTCAAAATTCAAATCCATTCACGATAATTTAGGAGTGTCGTCAGCATAAACACTCCCTATATACAGGTTGCGCAGCCGAGTCCGACTTTGCACTCGATTTATAACAACGTCGTGAAAAGAGATATCCTATTTTTATCAAATAACCGTGGTTATTCACTGCTTTAAGTTTCTGCAAAATTGTACACACCGTTGAAAAACCGTATACATTAATTTCAAATAAATAAACTTAACATATTCCAATAATTTCAAGTTGTTTGAATAAATATTTTGTCTCTGACGGCGTTTTAACCAAATTAAAATATAATTATATAAAATAAAACCAAACTATCCTGACTTGGATTTTCATAACAAATATTTTGGCATACAATAAGTATATCTATGACAAAAAACCTCATTGTCCACGAGCCTTATGGACAATCCTCGTACTCTAAGGTCAGACGACACGTTCCTCAATAATATATAATTTTTTCCAAGAATTTGTTATTGAAGTATTGCTGCTTTAATAAGTTTCCTCAGAAAAAAATTAAGGTACCTCACCAGGCATTTCTGCAAGATACCAGAGGGTGTTATTTGCTATATAATCCTATTAAAAATCCCTAACACTACCATATTACAATTTTTTTGATGTCTTTATCTACTTATGTATTTTAAAAATAGTTTAAAAATTACAATATAATGATTTATTTGTTATATATTATGAAGAGGTAAAAAACAGATATTCGAGCAACGTGTCGTCAGACCTTAACATCTTCAGCCATGTTATTTATGATTAGAAATATTCTAAAGAAAATCAAATGTTAACCAAACAGAACTTATTATGCATCCAAAAAAATTCATACCTTCCCCATACGTTTACTTAGTTTTTCACAACATTCAGTAACTGATGTTATATTCTGTTCAACTTTTTTAGTTCTTTGTAGATTTTTTAATAATAACCTACAAGAAGAAGAATGTTAAAAATGCTTTAAAAATAAAACTCTTGAATTCAATAATTCTTATTTTAGCAAGAGACATACTTACGATATTTGTTTTCCAACGACATTATAAACTTTTGTAAGATTCAATAAACAATGACTTTGTAAAAGGGAGACAATCTGTACGCAGAGATCCATCAGTTTTGATCTGAAATACCACAATAAATTTTATCTTTACAAATTTTCCTATCTCTACGTTCATAGGGCATAAAGAGCAATCATCAGATAAATTTTCTAATGGAAACAAAATCTTTCATGCAGGAATCTTCCTGCAGGTTTTAAATAAATTTGATTTAGGATTGACCTGTCAGCTTCATGTCCAAAGCTTTCTTCTTCTGGAAGAATCCTTTGCTTCTTTTGACGTAAGAATACGTGATGTATATCACATACCTTGGAACTTATATACTCAGCTTTCTGAAAACTAATTTCAAATTTCAAATCTGAATTTCTTTTCAACTATTGCAATTTCATATTCTTTCAACAATTTTGGTACCGACATTAGAGCTTTACAAAACAAGGAGGGCACCATACCAATGATCCTCTTCCAGACACCCGACACATACGGCTATAGCTTCGTCTTCCTGTTCTTTTATTTTCTGCATAAGTACCTCCATATAAACTTTACACTCCTGTGATCTAGATTCCGCCTATATAAATAATTGGAAACAATATATTATTAAAACACACCATGTTGAAAGATTTCAGGAGATTTCAAAACAGTACAATACTAGACTCAACATCCCTTTTCTCGCGTGCAGTTTAACTTTCCATGCACGATTATATAATTACCTTATTTAAAACTGTCCATGGATTCCTGTCATTGTAAACATCTTGCAGTTTGTCCAACAAGTGTTTAAGTTGACTTTTAGCTGTGGTTTTGACAGCTTTATGTATCACATTACCGTTCATCCACATGGATTCAAAACAGCTGTAGAATAACTCTTGACGAGATTTATGTTCCATTAACACTTTGCACATGTCCGGAATACAGTTATTTATCTTCCTTGTAATCCGTAAAATAAAATCCCTGAAAAGAATTTTTAAAACATTTTGGTTTTTAAAAATTTACAGTCTTGTCTTTGGGGAGGTTTTGCCTAGAATAAACACACATATTGATGTGTTGTTGTTTTTTTTCTACAAGCCATCTACAATAACTTTTTCCTTTTTTTTTTTACTTCCTCCGGATCCACATGTTTCATATCTATCTATTTTTTTTTTTACAAATGCTGCCAACTAGATTTTATGACATAACCAAACATACAAATGATTTTTGGGCTGACCAGTATGTTCCATATATTCAAGTTAGCTGTAGTAAAATAACAATAATTGCTTACCATATGTGTTTTTTAGGGAGAAATTTCTTATAAAGAAAATATCGCAGGATAAAGACGCAAGTTGAAGTACATGAAAGAGCCTAAGCACGTTACAGACTTGAGATAACAGCAAAAGACAATACATCCCCCTTGGATTTGTAGAATTATTAATGTATACATGTATATTGAAGCAAATAAAAAATGCCAATATGGATATAAAGATTTGACTGCTTATTTTTTAATATGTGTAAAGAAGATTCTTTTTATATAGAATATTTATCACACTGTAATAACGATTTTATGAGCTTGTACACACCAGACGTCATAACTTTTTCATTTCATATGTTGAAAATTATTATTTAGTAAATCCAAAAAAAAGTTTTAAAAAAGGGGGATCGTCCGGGATTTGAACCCGGGACCTTCACTTGCTAAGTAAGAATCATACCCCTAGACCACAGAGGCACTTGTTTATACGTCAAATTAAATGCAAACATTAGGTCACATATGTTTATATTCACGTTCGATTTTGTCAAAATTTTACACAATACACGGTGTCTAATTTAGCATTTACTAAACAGTTCTAATAGATGTAATTAGAATATAAAGTCCGCTGACAACCTGTATTATATGTAATAACTCTCCACATACACCTGTTCTACAAATAGTGCCAAGCGACTTTTAATACAATAAATTTTTTTTTAAAAAATGAGCGGGACACTTTGAGAGGGCGAGAGAGGCCATAAGGAGTTATGGTATAAAATTTCATTGCAAAAGCTCAAAAGCTTCTTGAGATATCGCCCGGAAAAGTGTTACACACAGACAGAATGTATGAATTTACGACCCTGAACTTTGACCTTTTGACCTCAAAATCAATAGGGGTCTATTTTAGGCAACAGAGAGTTGTTATGTAAAATTTAACTGCAAAAGCTCAAAGGCTTCTCGAGATATCGACCGGAAACGAAAGTGTTAAAACAGAATTTATGAATTAATGACCTTGACCTTTGACCTTTTCACCTCAAAATCAATAGGGTTTTCAATTAGGCCATAGGTAGTTGCTATGCAAAATTTCATTGCGAAGGCTCAAAGGATTCTCGAGATATCGTGCGGAAGCGATAGTGTTACAGACAGACAGAAATACTGACGGACAGATGGACGGACAGACAGACCCAAATTAATACCCCCACTTTCAGTGAAAGCGGGGGACATAGACATAGGTAGTGTCTGTTCCTTCGAAAGCGCCGGGCATTAGAAGTGAAAGTCACTGGTCTTTTGGATGAAACCTTAAAATCCGAGGTTCCGTGTCACGGTAGGTGCTCAATGGCCCTGAGTGCCGAGTATAGATCTAAATTTGAAGCCCTTCACCAGCGTACGGTGACGTCTCTAAATGAGTGAAAATTCTCGAATGGGACTTTATCAATATTCAATTAATCAATATTAAAAATTAAGCACCTTTCAGAACTGATGTGGTTATTAGACGTAATAGTCGTTTGACGTGGAAAGTTTAATAACTCAAGGGGAAAATAATGATAAATTTTTTTTTAACGTACAACAGACTGTTTTATAACAATTTAATAGATCAATTGTTTTTCTGATGAAATTGAGCCAAAAAATAAACACGGTGGTGTTCCTAGTGTATTGAAAGCGTATGTACTTTCTATTGCGTTTAAGTAGCTTGTTTGTTTGTTTCCTTAACGTCCATTCGAGAATTTTTCACTCATAAGGAGTTGCCACAACTTTCCGGTGGAAGGCTGTACTCGGCATTCACGGCCTTTGAGCAGCAGAGAGAGAGATCATTTTCGTGCCAGCTGCTACTGCAACACCGGACTTCGGTTTATACGAACTAATCCGAAGGACCGACCTCCACGTCGCACAGTGGTTTCGAACCCGCAGCGTAAGGATCGACTCCTTACTCCGCGACTCTAGAGCAAATGCTCTAACCACTGCACCACGCGGGCGGCTATCTGAAAGCAGTGAATAATCTAAACGTGTGTTTTTAAACTTTTTAACACCTTTTCTTAGTTTAAAGGTTCATTGAGAGAAAATTCAATATTTTTATGGCACCGAAAGCTTCCTGGTTCTTACATACCAGGAAGACAAGGCGGTAAGTACATAATTCCTGGGGGGGGTAAATTTTTGAATTTTCTTATCAGGACGTCTTCCTTCTTCGCTTGATAATTCTTGATACGAGCAAGATTTTTTGTTATCATACTTAAAGTACTAAGTATAATTAAAAGTTTTTAGATCACCTGGGCTAATGGCTCAAATTAGCTTTTCTGATCGAAAAGTACCCGGCGTCCGTCTGTCTACAGTCATGTGTTGTCTGAAAGCATTGCACATTTTCGACTTCTCCAGAACACTGGGCCAATTTCAAGCAAACTTACCACAAAGCATCACAAGAAAGGGCCATGCCTTTTTTTGAGGGGATATAATTAAAAATTAATAAAATTTAATGGAATTTTTTTTTTAAATTTCCCCTCAAGAATCACTGAGCAAGAAAATTTGAAACTGATATGAAAGCTTCACTGCTTAGTGTTTATTCAAGTTCAAATTATGACCCCCTGGGATAGGGCGGGGCCGCAACAAGGAATTAAAGTTATACATAGAAATATATAGGAAATATCTTTAATAATCTTATTCTCAAGAACAGCAAAGCCATGATTAGTCATATTGATGTAGAGGCATCCTGAGGTATTGTAGATTCAAGCTTCTTCAAATCATGACCCCCAGGGGTAAGCTTAGGACAGAACAGGGGATCAAAGTTATAAGTTTTAATATATAGGAAAAATATTTAAAATCTTCTCAAGAACAGCAAAGCCATAATTAGTCATATTAATAAAGAAGCGTCCTCAGGTAGTGAAGATTAAAGTTTGTTCAACTTCAATTTTTCAAACATCATTGACTCCCGCGGATAGGACTGGACATTATAGGAGATCAAACTTTTACATAGAAATATATAGGAAAAAGTCTTTAAAAATCTTCTAAAACCATGTTTAGTCAAAGAAATTTGGAAGCATCCTTAGTAGTTAGTGTAGATTCAAGTTGTTCAAATCAAGCCCCCGCTCCCATTTGGGGATGGGGGGTTAGGTTGGGACCACTTATATTTAAACTTTTCTATACTGAACCGATTTCTGCATTTCTCTTGCCAAAGTGTTAGGTGAGCGATGTGACCCATGGGATTTTGTTTAAAGGGTTTCCTTCCTTTTTGTAATTAAAGATTCGTGTCGGTATTCAAAATATTTTGTTTAAATATTATTCACAACAAAGAAGGGACAATCCGTTTCTGCTTTAATTGACAGAAATAAAATGGATTTTATTAGAAGGAGATAAAGCGTGGTGAATAGAAGTTTCGTGAATGTCATTACCTTAGAAAAGTCTCAGATTGCAGCATTATTTCTTGTTGAGTTATACAAGACGCCACATAGCGCTCTATCAGGCATGATATGGCAGCCATTTTGTGTGCAACATAACAGTCTCGATCTAAGTTGACCTTGGATGGAAATTGTGGCAAAGGTGCTAAAAGACAAATTATTTTATCAATATTATATTTCTGTTTGATTTTAACTTCTAGAGAACATAGAATCAATAGAAATGAAATATATACATTCGTCACTACTTTTAGCTTATTAGATACAAACAAGCAAACATGTATCCATACAAACATATTTTTGCTGTAGTGCATGAATGAAAACAAAAAGAATTCCAATAGCAAATCTGAACAATTTCAGCACATTTACAACATGTAAATGTACTTCCAAAGAAAACTCTAGAATCATGCCCGAAATCAATGATGCTGGCACTGTTCAGTCGCATTTCTTACGTATTTCTGGTAAAACAAGTCTCTGCTGGTCTAATTTCTCTCTCTGATATAGATACAATTGTCCACGTAATATGTTTTTAGGCCAGTTTTGCATCTCTAGAGTCCCTTCAATTATTTCACTTAATTCACGGTTATGGAATAAAATAAGTTGTTCCCCGGCCGCTATCTCTGTTGTTACTGCAAGTCTTTCTTGGAATTGAGCATACCTAAAATACGAAAATAAGGGTGATATGGATACCTTAAAGAATTACTTTTGAGGAAGATTACAGTCACGTGTGTTTTTATCAAAATGATAACCAATTGTGCTCAATTATCATGTATCTCTGTAAACTCGGGAATAAAGGTAATGTATTTGTGGAAGTTAAGTGAAAAGGACCATACAAACTTTTACTTATTTTTCTTTGTTTATCAGCTGCTGCAGCGGCCGATCTATTTGTGGTTGTGTTAGAAAGTGCGCATGGGGAAATGAGACGTTATTTCTCTTTTAAATCAGTTAAATCATTTTAATGATAACGCGTATAAAGTCATGAGTAAAATATTTAAAAACTTGCTTTCATAAACTATGTATTAATTGTTGCTATTATGTTTCAATTTTATTTTCATTTCTCATCAGATAATTATTAATTTATGATGTACTACAAAACTTGGAGTGTATAAGATACGAACGCAAATCGTTCTAATTTTCCGAATAATTTATTGGTAAAAGTGCATATTGAATAAAAATTGAAAAGTTGTTCAACTGGTAAAAATTGTTTTGAATATGCTACAGCTGAGAATGAAACAAGGATAATTTTTGCACTACGCTGTACAGCTTAGCCTACTCTGCAGAAATCATCGACATCCTCACGTGAAAATAAGCCCATGGTTCATCTTGAGAACTGAATATCTTCATTCTCTGAATTTATTACACCGATGAATCAATTTGATGAACAATTGCACTAAAATTTATATTTATCTATTACATGTATTTATCTTTATTTTATTTTATATGTTGATTGATTGATTTATTTTATTTAGTGATTTATTTTTATTTATTTTTTTGCTTTCAAGACATTCTGAAATAAAAATGATCACTCTTTCAGCTTTGAATATCTTGTGTTTTCCTTATGCTCAATTGTGAAAGTACTTTTGAAATGCTAAATTTTGTTTGCGGCCGATTTGATGATTTCCATCAATTTCACATGTGATATATTTTGATGACTTGTCTTTCTCACCCCAAAGAAATGCACCCCCAATTTTACCAGAATATCGTCTACGTGTAACTTGCAGAAACAGAAGGACAGTTAAATGTGTGACAAAATATTAACTTCGTTGGCAGATTTAAAAATAAAAGTATTTGCAATTGCAAAACATCATCAATAAAATGATTGGAAAAAAAGTTTTATTCACCGATTTCAAAACAATTCATATTTTGATTTACAAAACAGTTTTATTTCAATGAACACTTACCTATCACTTTTGTCAATGTATATTTTATCATTTAGTCCAGTTGATACATCGAATACTTTAACAGTAATTTTATTCATTATTTCAGAGGTTGCTTTAAAAAAATTGTCAAAGGTCCAGCGTTTAGCACGATTACTCTCCAAGAGTCCGGCTATAATTGGTGTAATTAAGGACTTGAGTGACCTACAGAAGAGAAATGGTGAGGATGATTAAGTGATGAGAGCAGTGTTGCAACCACTATAGAAATAACGACCACTATTGAAATAATTATGTCAACATTGGTAAAGAGTGCATTTCAAAACCAAACAGAGATTGCAACTGAGCAGTATCATACCATATTTTAAAGCTAAGTCTCTAATAAAACTTCAAAAATATTTTTACAATAATATTGAAATAGTTTATCAATTAAGGAGTAATAAAAAAAAAACATGCATATAATTGAGTAGTGATTTGAAATAAATATAATGACATCTACTTACGACGATAAATAACACGTCCTGGGTAGTTCCGTGTGCCACTCTATGTCTCCGCCCTCTGTACGCTGTATACCAGATATTACACCCGATTTTTTTTGAGTCGTTATATAGTGCCTATTAAAACAGAGTAATTAAATATGAACGATGAATGCAACACATTTTTCATCACAAGTAAAAAGAATGTGTCAGAATATCAATAAAACATATTAGGACGATAAATAACACGTCCTGGGTAGTTCCCTGTGCCAATCTACGTCTCCGCCCTCTGTACGCTGTATACCAGATATTACACCCGATTTTTTTTTTTTTTTTTTTTTTTTTTTTTTTTTTTTGTCGTTATATAGTGCCTATTAAAACAGAGTAATTAAATCTGAACGATGAATGCAACACATTTTTCATCACAAGTAAAAAGAATGTGTCAGAATATCAATAAGGTAGTATGGGATACCTCCACGTTATGACGTATTTCCGTTTGAAGTATTGTTTTGATTTGCATGAGTGCTTATTATCGGGTCAAAATTTGTAGTTACACCGTTGAAAAGAACACTCTGAAGCCTATTTCAATGCAAGTTCTCACAAGTCGGCATTTTAAGTAAAAACAGACAAAAAAAATCACAAGTATATAAATTTACTTGATATATAATTGTACTTACTTACTTACTTACTGCCCGTGACGCCTTTGGCGTATAGGGCAGTAACGAGGGTTCTCCATCCTTGTCTATCACTGGCTAGCTTTTGGAATATATAATTGTACAACGGACATTTAAAAAAGCAAACCCCTGTAAAAGGTAGTTTCAACATTGCTGCTTTTGAACACTTTTAAGCAAAAGCTGTATTTCAATTGTTTGAGTAACTGTACAGCACCTTGTGTGCGGTGAGGCATGGATAAGTGCGATTACTTCACATTGTGCTGAATTATCACCAATCAATTATCACGTTAACCACAGCTGGACTTTTTTGTTATTTAATTCAAGAAGTAACTGTTTGGTCACAAATCAGCTAGCTGTTGTATATAGTCCCAAAACGTTCAGATGAATGCAATTGCTCTGAACAAGACACGTCCTGGAAAGCGATTGTCCATGCATTGTTTTCAAAACCGCTCAAAGTTGAAAACTACAAAGTGCAATTTTTTTATGGTTGGGAAAAAATGCTCATCATTTCTAAAATAGCACCCAGGTTTTTTCAACCCTTGGAAAATAAAGAAGGATAACTCTTCCGCTCGGATCTTTTAATTCAAAAAATTTTAAATGCATTTTAAATTTTCCATTTATACATATATTTTCAATTTGTTTATTTCACTTTGCTAACATATTAAGATATATTCTTATTGTAGACTTTCATGAAATGCTATCCGTCTGTTTTCAAGAAATAAAGTTTTCCCAGTTTTTTACGCTTATTTTTTGTTGAAAATTAAAAAAATACTAAGACATATTTCTTGTCATTTTTGTTTTTATATACACTTTATATTAGCAAACGCCTGCCTATAATATTAAGCTTATGAAAAAAGAATTATGCAAGAAAAAAAATCATTTTTGTATTTCTCATTAAAATAATAAAAAAATTATTAAAATTACACTTTAATATACTGAAAGGTGGGGGTATTTCAAATCCTTCTAATTTGGGTACATAAATATGTAAGAGAAGTTTCATTTGGTATCCCATACCACCTTAAGAGGCGAATTATTTCTTTCAAACAAGTGTCTGCAATCACATTTTCTACATGGAATTGTATGTGTATTTTCTGCAGTAATTTAAATATTGAGGTACATGTACTTGTGATGAATTCTAAAATCGACAAATGATTAAATTCTCATATTCATTACAGTTGATTGACTGGAACCGCAAAAAATTGATAGAATGAATATCAATTATTAGAATACTTCCTTTGATGGACCAAATCGCAAAAATGTCAAGCCGCAGAAAATATTTCTTCCATATAAGAGACACTAGCACAAAACCTTTGATTGAATATATAATTTTTTTTTGAATTGCTATTTCAAGAATCATGGTACTCACATTGTTTTAGCATTACTTCTTCCTCCATAGGGTTGAAAAGGCAGTGAACCAGTCGCAACATGATATATAGTTACACCTATCAACATGATATAAAGGATATCTATTATTTGCTTTATCCAACGAGTTGAAATGGAATATAATCGCGAGGCTTTTCTGATTTAAAAAAAATATTTTACTCAGTATTATCTAATTGATAACAACAGAATTTTCACGAATAGAAGTTTTAAAAAAGAAGATGGGTGAACAAGGCGGGCGAAGTGCCTATAGTGCGACAAACATGAAGTGAAAAATAAAACCTCAATTATATAAAAATTTTCTTTGATATTTCATTTAACATTAAAGTATATTTTATGCTAAATCTCTACAATTTACAAAAATCTCACAAAGACTGAAATTATTTGCCTACGAAATAGCATACACACACTAAAGAGGACAAAAAGGATCATTTTCTCACACTTTAACTAAATTTTTCGATATGAGTGGGTCTTCGCTCCATTTTTTTGAAAGTTGATCCTAAAAGTTTGCATAAAAATATACATTTTTTGGTTTACAAAAACATGGAGCAAAGACCCACTATACCTTAAAAGTACACTTTTATGACAAAGCATTCGCATCTTTGCGAGAAATACTTGAAGTCCATTAAGTCAAGGGTCATATCACAAACATGATTTAAATGCCACTGTTCGTCAGGAGCTGCGTGGCGTAGTGGTTAGCGTGTTAGTCTCGAAACAATATGATACTCCGGATTTTTATTGATAGGGGTTCGAATCCCATGAATACCATTTTATTTTTTTAATAAAAGAATAATTTTGTCCGAGATCTTTTTTCTCAGAAAAGTTTTGTTAATCATAATTTCATAAATTTCAGTAATGAGAACTTTATTTTGAATACTTAATTCACAAATTGAATATGATTTTATAGATATCTGAAGCTATACGCATTCTGCACGCCTTGTTCACCCGTCTTCTTTACATCCTGTAGCGAGGGATTGTGTCAAAAACGGAAGTGCTTTTGATAAAACATAAGTTTATCTTATAGGTAATGCCCACCACACACGTGAATGAGATAAATAAAGTTAAACCAATCGTGCAACATTATATTTTTTTTTTACACATAACAACATGATATATTATTACACCTATCAACATTCAGTTAAATCCATCAACAATATATTTAGTCAAACGCCTTTCAACTTTTACAACCTATCAACATGAAATATATTAACAGTTTTCAAATCGATGTATAGATAATATCTAGCTACACTTATCAATATCATTTATACATGTAGATATGCCTATCACTATACCTATTAACATTACATATAAGGCAACCAGAAGTCTATAACGAGACTGTAGCTCTACTTGTGTGTACTAAAAATGAAGAAAGATGTATTTGTGTACCAAGACTTGAAATCGCCATTCGAATCAAAACTGTATGTTTAGTAATTTTTTCAAAGAATTTTACAGAATCTTTTAAAACCGTGGCAACACCAATTGGTTAAAAATCAGAAACCAATAGAAGGAACTATGTATCTTAGTATATATAGTCTACTTGAAATCAGCCTAAAACTGTAGTGGGTAGCATTTCGAAAGAATTTCACAGAATTTTTAGTAAACATGGCAACACTGTTTGTCAAAATCAAAACCGATATACAGAATTATGAACTTAAATATAGTCTATTAGGGTATCAAATCTTATTGAAATCAGTCCAAAACTGTAGGAGGAGTTGCATTTTGAAAAAAATGTTCACAGACAGAAGGATAGATAGCTAAACAGACAGACGGACGGACGACGAACACCTTACAAATGCATAAGTTCTTCTCTGGTCTCTGACCAGTAAAGCTAAAAATTATTGAACTACTCCTAAGCTATGTTCTTATATTGAGGAATACTTTAAGATTTACTTCATTTTTACGTGCTTCAGACAATGGAAGTTTCTTAAACGTGTCAACAGCACTCAAACATCTTTGATCATTTAAATCACTCACGAATTATTGAATTGTAATTTCATTTAAAGTCGAATTGAATTTCATTGTCACATATTTCTTTCTGCCTCAAAAGCAATAATAAGCATACTTCTCAGAATACTATACTAGTATATTAATTTTGTAGTTGTTCAAAATAATTTAATTTTAAGGTGCCAAAAAATGATAGAAGTGTTTCTCTAGTTTATGTTCAAAGCATCATCTGTTCCAGTAAGCTGTATTTCTCGTTGGTTTAAGACAATAAAAATGGTGATTTACATGGGTTGTGGATTTTTTTTTGTGTATACACCTGCCAGCCTAATATTCTAGGGAATCAAGTGGTCTGTTAGTGTAGCACAATTAACTTGTGTATTTTTATGCCCCCGTAATCGAAGATTCGGGGTACTAGTATATAGTTTTTGCCCTGTCTGTCTGTTTGTCAGCAAAAACTTTAACCTTGCCCATAACTTTTGATCGGTTGGAGCTATGGCTTTCACATTTCACATATGTATTCCTTGTGAAAAGACCTTTCTTTGGAAACAATCATATTTGACCTTGACCCTGGAGTTTGACCAAGTTTTGCAAAATTTTACCCAATATTAACCTTGACCAAAACTTTTGAACAGTTGGTGCTAGGGCAATCATACTTCACATATGTACTCCTTGGGAAAAGGTCTTCCTTCAAATACCAAGAACTTTGACCCTTTGACCTTGGAGTTTGACCTTCTTTTGGAAAATTTTAACCTTGGTCATAACTTGGAACAGTTGGTGCTAGGGCTTTCATACTTCACATATGTAATCCTTGTGACAAGACCTTACTTTGGATACCAAAACCTTTGACCTTTTGAACTAGACCTTGGAGTTTGACCTACTTTTGAAAAACTTTAACCTTGGCCATAACTTTTGAATTGTTGGTGCTGAAGCTTTCATGTTTCACATGCGCATTTCTTGTGAGAAGGCCTTTCCTTGGGAACCATTAATTTTGACAATTTCACCATGACCTTGATGTTTGACTCACTTTTGAGAAACTTTAACCTTTTCCATATCTTTTCAATGGTTGCTGCTAGGGATTTCATATTTCACAGGTATATTCTTCCAGACAAGACCTTACTTTGGGTACCAACATATTTGATTTGCATTTGAGAAAGTTTAACCTTCGCTATAAGTTGCCATATGGGGGCACCAGTGTTTCACAATCACATCTTGTTTATATATATATATATATATATATATATATATATATATATATATATATATATATATATATATATATATATATATATATATACCTAAACTCCATAAATCTACGTCAGCGTCATATACGTTTCCAGTTGGCATTCTTAGGACTGCACGTTCGTACATATTTGGGTCCTGAAAATATATTTAAAATATCGTTAGGGAAATTTTAAATCAGTGAGTGTTTGATGGACATTATTACCAGCGGTGGTAAATTTCTCTTTGTGGTATTATTTTTAACTTAACATGAACCCGACCTTCATTTTAGACATTGGAAAAAATCAGTGTTGAAATTGAACTGCATTTTTTTTTCGGAACCAAAATGTCTTCATATCCATTAAAAGAAGATAATAAACAGATGGAAAAGGGAACAGGAAATTTCGTATAATTATCTTATATAATTATAATAATCAGAGTTTCAGTGTACATAAAAAAAAAATATTGCTTTAAATTCCCTCAAATCGCCAAGTGAAAAGCATTTTATGTAGATAAAGAAAAAAAAACTCGTTAAAGAAAAATCTCGGAAACCCCATTTTTGAAGAGTAAATTGAATTCACCCTTATATAAAATATCCAACACATTTAATCATAATGATACCTTTATTTGTATATAAATAAAGCTTATCAAAAAAACCAACCAAGCAAAGCAATTATGTATTGAATTTTAATTACAAAAACGAATTACCAAATATTCCTCTGTTCCATAAATAGACGTAAATGTTTCCTCTTCTTCTAGCGCTCTTGCAGCGCCAAAGTCGGTGAGCATATAAACTGACCTGTTGTGAAGTTACAGAAATGATAGAAATGACTTTTAGTTTTTGAATGGTGTATAATATCTACAGCAAAACATGAATAAAAGCACAAAAAAGGTTGCAACCATTGAGTTGTTAATTTTCATTTTAAATTTTGTTACATTTAATTTTACCAATAATTTGTCAATAAATAATTTGTGTTTAAAAAATAATTTTGTTTATATCTTCCCATGGAGATTGCATGACGTCATTTGGTCTGAATTAGATCTCTCGATTAGGGATGGGAAGACCTGAGCGGGATTTGGACAATTTTATTAAAATATGATTATCAAGCATGTTAACAAGGGGGTAATTCTAGTCATTCATTAAACACTAAAAAAAAAAATCTTACTCATGTTATATATTCAGTTATTATTCATCATTTGTCTAGTTTGGTAACAAAATTGACTTTAGTTACTGTATAAAGTATAAAGCCAATTTTTTTTTTATTTTTAAGGCATTTTCTCTATAAATGAACGAGTATAATACAAGAACGCCATACCTAAAAAGTTAATTTGTTAAGAGAGAAGCATGCAAGAATTTGGTTTACGTATATTTTCTAGCACAATAAATAGCGTTTTAATAGTAAAACGAAAGTTTTTTTTTTTATAGTATACGATTCCGACGATCCTTTTTTTTACCAATCAAAAATAATGCGCTCGTCCCGATATCGCCATTTTCTCAGCTAAACAGCAAGTTTTAAAATTTAGAATGTTTCTAAGTCAATTTAGCGCTGATCAATATATGAGACCTTTACAAACATCCAGATGACCGTAAGCAAATACATGTACATGTGTAAACCAAAATGGCGGTACTATCAAATCAACGAGAAACATTTTAAAAGAACTTTTTTTGTATGGAAGTGTCTCAAATCTTGGATGAAGGAATTTAGCTCTATTTCTCCATTTGAAATGGCAAAATTCAAACTAGAATATCGGAGAATGTGCAACCCCGACGTTATAGAAATAGATACACATACTTTGATGTTGAAAAATAAGTCCTGCTTGAAGTAAAACGGGTTGGTATTTCATCGGATATATTCAATTAAACAGTTTATTACTGTACATTATTGACTGGGTTCGAGGGCAACATGCGTTTTGTTGGACCAAAGAATCAATCTGTTTGCCCAGGGCCGTTAGGCTGAAGGCAAACAGTTTGGTTCGAGGGGTAAACAAAATGCATTTTGCCCAAGAACACAGTCGTTAAATGTTTTGTTATACCTTTTAGTTATTTATCTAATTTTTTTTTTTTGACATACATGTATCTTGTACTGGCTTCCATGATGTAAACCTTTACCCACACTGCGGTTAAACTCGGTCAATTCTGTCACTGTAGAACACCAACGAATGCAAATAAGATTTAGCTGACCCCGCCCATAGTGTGACCTAATGGGTCCAATTTCTCATCGACAGGTCCAATATCTCACTCTGCGGTCAAACATCGATTTTTTTTATGACCGCTCAGTAAAATATTGCAAATGTTGTTTTTTGTTGTTGTTGTTGTTTTTTTTTTTTTTTTTTTTTTTTTTTTTTTTTTTTTTTTGTATAGATTTACATAGGAATAATTTTTAAAGGCATAACAATAGATACTATTCACCTTTAAAAAATTGATCTTCCCCTTCAAACTGCACGAGACATTTGGAAAGTCTAGACTGGGACGTCAAATGACATCTTAATATGTGCGTTGACCTTGTCATTGGTCATTTGCAAAATTATTTTGTTAAAAAACATTGATTGTACACACAAGTACTCTGAGGATGACATTAAAAAGATGCTTGAGTTTCTGATTGACAATATCTATGTGGTTTTTGGAGACCGGGTCTTCCAACAATCTATTGGAATTCCCATGGGTACCAATTGCGCCCCGTTATTTGCAGTCCTTTTTGTATTCATATGAAGCAGAATTTGTCCAAAATCTTATACGTGAAAAGAGGAAAACACTTGTTGTGGCCTTCAACTCGACATTTAGATATATCGACGACGTATTGTCAATTAACAATGGTTATTTCCATTCTTATGTCGATACGATATATCCTGGTGAGCTTGAGATAAAAGATACCACTGAGTCTGACACATCTGTTTCATATTTGGATATTTTACATGAAAAAGTCGTTAATGGTTATCTGATAACCAAGCTTTATGATAAACGTGATGACTTTCACTTTTCAATCGTCAACTTCCCTTACTTATGCAGCAATATACCTTCATCACCTGCATACGGGGTTTATATTTCTCATTTGATTCGATACGCAAGAGCATGATCTACGTATGGAAAATTTCTAAGACGAGGTAAGTTATTGACAAACAAGGTGGTGAAACAAGAATATCAGCAGTCTCGTTTAAAGTCATCATTTCGTAAGTTCTATTTTCAATACAATGCCCTTGTCAGCAAATACAATTTATCATCGAGTCAAATGCTGACTGGCGTTTTTCATACTAATTGTTAGGCCATTATTTACAAACTGAATTGTCGAGGGATTTGTCCGTTATTTCCCGATCATGACAAGGAGCATACGGTGGGTGTGACCGATCGGCAGGGGATGCTCACTCCTCCATGGCACCTGATCCCACCTCTGATGTTTTGGAGGTCCGTATTTGCTCTGCTCCTATTTTGTAATGTTCAATGGACTTTTGAGCTTGAAAATTGTTCGTTATCTCTATATATTTCATTGCATTTCTATAACGAAGTCTCAAAAAGGAAAAGACAGGGCCTAACATACTATCTCTCTGCAATTTCCATTAAAGCAAGGCGAGTTACTTTTTTATTGTTGAACTTTTCTTTAATTATAGCGGGAACGTGAGCTACATAGCAGTACATCAGTTGTGGAAAAACTGTCTATTTGCGTTGCATTGTGGGTTCAGAGGTTACTGCGGAAAGAATCATTTGGATCAATATGCTCAGTTCGAATTTTCACTTCTCCCACGTGTTGCTTCGCGCCGCTCGCTATCAAGAACTGGGGCCCGTTTTACAAAAGAACTGACGACTAAGACCAAAAACTTTAGTTGATTGTAAAATTTTGCAAAATTATTGATTCTGTTTAAAATTGCTAGAGTAAAAGTATCTTTCTACATACCTTTTAAAAAGATTAAAACCATTTTCTATTTAATGTAAATTAAAAAGTTACTAACAGAATTAAATTTTGGTCTTAGTCGTAAGTTCTTTTGTAAAACGGGCCCCTGGATACCATTGATTACACTTAGAACCCCCCCCCCTTTTTTTTTTCACGAGAATCAGTTTAGAATGTGAAGTCACATGACGTCGTATTTTAGTTGAAAAGTGAAAATTTTCAACCAAAAATAAAAAAGAAAGAAACCGTTTAATCTACTACGTGTATCTTTTTGCAAAATCCATGGAGTGAATATGGCGTCGTATGCTAGTTGAAAAGTGCAAACCCGGGAACAAATAATGCGATAAAATATAACAGGAAAAAAAATTACTTCTTGAAATTCCTCTTTCACAAATGTGCTTCATTTACGATTACAGCGGGTTCCAACATGCCAGGCTTGAATTTTGTCAAAATGAGATTGATCTCAAAAAGGAAGTAAAACATGAAATAATTTCGAAAGTTTAAAGAATTAATCTTCCGTGCAGTACCTCTAAACCAGGAAGATTTTCAACTACTGGCGTCTGCCCAATTAGATTTTAATTGGTGAAAATTAATCTTATAAACGTGATTTTAAAGGTAATTAAAATGGCCTAGGCTCATCCAATTATACAGAGAACTCAACATTAAGGCACCTCTGACCGACTTAGACTAGTAAAAGTTTTATCTGGTCTAGTTTATTTTGCGTCAAGGTAGTCCCACTGGTCGTGTAAAAATATCTGGAAGGTAAATTGAAGCAAAGCATTTATTTAAGGATTTCCTATCAGTTAATTCACTCATTTGTGGCAGTGCTTTTTTATATTATCGATGTGGTTTCACTTTCAATTTTTGATCTCGTTGAAAAATATTGTGAAAAAAAAAACTTATTTTGGAAAACCCTGCATTTTTATTGTATCAAAAAGTTCGCCAGTTGTCTTTTTTTTTACTCTATCATAAGTATACATATCAATATTTCGCTAATCTTGCCACTTTTGATTTTATGGTAAATGCAATTTAAACTCTACCCAGAGTTATCCTTCCTACTAGGTCGTTTTCTTTACGACAACTGTTTTTATAAAAACCGAACTGAAATAGGATGTATTCCCCCTTCTGATATTTCTCTTAAATTCCATAAAAAGAAATTTATTTGATGATATATAACTTTTGCACCAAAAAACAAACAAACAACCAACCTATGATAACCTATGATAACCTTCAATATGTTTACGTTATGTCGTTTTTTCACTATGATTTTCTCATGTTAAATAAATTGAGGCATTGAATGATCTGCAGAAATTACGTTAGATCTAGTGAATTTAAGTTAGGTCATGGTTAATATCACTCCCACTTTTCCTATAAAGAATCTTAAAAATATATAAAACTGTGATATCCAACATTTGTAGTACAAGTACTACGTTTATAAACTTGTACATACTTTCCATTTTCGTCTATTTTCCGCATGATATTGCCAGGCTTAATGTCTCTGTGAGTAATCTGAATTTTACGGAGGTATTCGATACCGTCACCTAAAATAAAACAGAAGTGTATGTTTAACCTTCATCGAACCAAAATCACACTGAAAGGATACATAACACAAACAAAATTCGATACATGGATTGATATATATTTTTTGACTGAATTTGATTAGAAATGATGTAAATAATAAATCCCTAAAATATAAAGAAATCGTAAGTTTTTTTTTGGTACTTAGATATGCGACTTTGTATCGTTTTCTACATAATTCTATACAAAATTTAGCACATATTTTTAACATTGTGGCAAAATCCTACAAATTCTCCCACTTTACATGGCAAACATTTTACAGGTTACCTATTCGAATATAAATCTATGAGAAGTATTGCTGATTTGTGAAAAAAGTTTGTTTGTGTTATTTATCCTTAATATGTTATTGAATCGTCAATATTGAATGAATTAATCTATGCCAGTTTTACTGCGTAGAGGATGTACATGTAACAACATTCTAAATTCTATCTTAAAATTTTGCAAATCTATTCCTTTTTGGCATACTTTTGTTCCGTGTACTAGAATATAGAAACGCATTCTTTATTTTCTGTACATAAATGAAATTTCCTGGAAATAAACATTTTAAATCAATTCATATTTCTAATTTAAAAATTCTCAGTAAAACTCTTTCCATGAAAAGATCTTAAGCCTAATTCAATAGCAATAAATGCATCTTACTGATGTCATGAAGGGCGATAAGAAACTCTTCTTCTGGAAAACCGAATGAATACTTGGGTTTGTCTAACATTGAATACAGACTTCCACCAGAGCAATATTCCATGATGATGACGTCATTACCGGTAGTTACCTGTTAATATCATAATCGATTTGATAGAGTATGTTTTAATTTCAACTCAAAAAAAAAGTTCGACTTTTTTATGACGGTGGAGGTACTGTGGAATCATTTAAATTCGTGGGGGTCAATGTTCGTGGGCAAGCAAAATTTTATTGGTTCGTGGGGATGTAATTTCGTGGGCAGCTCGTTTATTTGGAAGATTTAATTAATTAGTATGTTGATGAAATAATTGTTCGTGGGGATGTAAATTCGTGGGTAAGGGTTATCCATGAAATCCACGAACATTAATCCCCCACGAACAATGATGATTCCTCAGTAATTTTTTGTATGTTTGTTTGCTAGTGTGTTTGTTTGTTATTATGTGCGTGTGATTGTTTTTTTTTCTTTTCCTTTTATTTAGTTATTTTGTAGGGGGGGGGGGGGGGGGTCTTTAGGCTATGCATTTAAATAAACACGACTGATGAAGGCTGGTAACATGGTTGAAATATTTCAAAAAGTGTTTTAAAGTGTTTTTATTCTATTACAAAGAAGAGACTTTGGATATATATATATATATATATATATATATATATATATATATATATATATATATATATATATATATATATATATATATATATATATATATATATATATATATATATATATATATATATATATATATATATATATATATATATATATCTTGAAATGTTAGAACACAGAACGATGCTTTATGGGTAGGGAAGATGTTTTCACTGCAGGTACACTCACAGGAATGTAAATTTCTCTCTTCTTAAAAAGGAAACTTTAAGGTTTTTATTTTATCTTCTTTTTGAAAAAAAAAATTACACACGTTTGAATCACGCTAATAATCGTACACTAGTTATCCGTATATCAGTTTTATTACGTTTTTTTTTCAAAACACAAACGCAATAGAGGAAAAAGGAAATGAATTAAATAGAAAGAAAAACATTTCCAAAAAGTGAACATAATTACATGCAATATTCGTACTTTTTCGGGCGATTTTGATAAAAAAAAATGCTTAACTAATTTCTTAAAGTAAAATCCATCAGGCAAATTTATCTTACATGTCAACGTCTAGAAATTTTTTGTAGGACAAGTTTACGCTCATGCCTTATATGGTTCAGTAATAACACCTCACCCCCTCAATATTTTAAACAACGTGGAACATACTATAAATATTAACTTGAGGTACATATGAACAGGTCACGATCAAAGCAAAATTAATTATGATTATAAATTGCTTTTTTTCAGAAAGTCAAGACATGTGCTTGAATATGGTGCGTTATGTCCATTTTAAATCAAAAATGAAAGTAAAGAGAAGCAAACATTAATGAAAAGGCACGCTCCGAACTAAACCTAACCAAATGTGAAAATACATGTGCTCAATACCCATTTTTGTGAGTTTCAAGTGTGAAAGTGTATAACTCTCAGGCCATCTTTAAAAAATTGTTTGTTTGCCCTCTCACGACCGACTGGTTAAAAATGGCCCGACTCAAAAATAACCTCCAGGAAACGAGATATTTTTTTCTTTTTATTCCCGAATTTCTCATCCCGTCAACAGGTATATTAATTTTCTGGGGGAAAAAAATTCTCTCCTACCTACCGACCCAATTTTTCTACCCTGAGTCCGGAGAAGGCAAGCAAACATCATTTTAAAGATGGACTCATGGCCGTAGGAACGGGGGGGGGGGGGGGCATAACATATAGTATACTATAGAAAAAAATACTTTTTATATGCCCTTCAATAAGTTCACCTAATGACTTTTTTTAATATTTTTTTTTGTTTGTCGAAGGATATTTAGATGGTAGTACCCCTCCCCCCTTCAGCTGAAAAGTTTGGTTCTGGGCTCAAATGAAATTGCTTCCTACATATACGGGCCTGACCCTTGTTTTTGTTCATAAAACTTCAGGTAAAATTCACGCAAATTTCAGCTAGGTGAATCTCTTTTCTCGGAAAATTAAAGTAAATCTGGTTGTAAAAATCATTCATTAAAATCCTCTTATTCTTTAAAAGTCTTTCAGATAATTTTCTCCGGTAATCATAAATAAATATCTATGAAGTGTTTATATATATAATTCCATCAAATTCCGATAACCTGCATGACACTAGTAAGTTGTACATACGTGCATACAAAGTTATGAAATGACGAAGCTATTTATTCTAATAAAGATTAGTATAATTTTTCACTTTTAAAGGATGTCCTTTTCATGCTCATATAACCAGGAAAAAGCATGTAAAAAGATCTTAACTGCATACATTTTTACGTGTAATATTAGCTATTCAGTGTTATTAATAAATCTCCGTTAATACCAACATTATCTGCTTCAGAGAAATCATACCAGTACTAGTATTACAAACATAAAATGCGAAATTCATTTGTTCCGACACAAATTTTAGAACAATGTGTAAAAAATTTAGCTGCAGGTTTGTAGCTCGCTGGTCTGAAAAAGTTGGGATGGACGACCAGAGAGATACAGTGCCACCCATTGAAAAAAAAAGTGTATATTTATTGCGCACAAAAAAAGTGCGCTGGTTCTCGATTTATTTCTCCGTATTTTAAAACTGCAATCTCGAAATATTACCGACCGTGTTTTCCTAACACACTCTTTCATTATTCCCACATCAAGAAATTTCCTGTAACCGTTGTTAATAGCCCTCATGGTTCTAAGACCATCCAAATACTGTCATTTTGGGTGGCTAGACAATTCGGCAAAACGCGCTTCATAAAAATGTCAACTACAAGAGTAGTTGATAGCTCTGTCTAAGGAATTTTTTTTTGAAATCGAGCTTTTTTGCAGTTTTTTTTTTCCGGAGAGCTACAGTTCTGCAGCTATAAAAAAATTTACCTCCTTCTCGAGCCCAAGTATGCCGATGATATTGCGGTGCTTCATTTTCAGGAGAAGTTCTAGTTCACGCTTTGGAACAGAGGAATGGAAAGCGGAAACGCGTTCGTGGAACACCTTTACAGCAAATACCTCTCCCGATGTCTGTAAACAAAGTAAAAAGGTTTAAGATGAAGATTACTGAAAAATAGGCTTATCATATTTATATCAAAAATTGAATGGTAACGAATAGATGAGTTGGATAACTGCCTAGTGTAAGATATTGACCTAATAGTGTACGATATTGACCTAAGGGCAGATGAAAGGTGTCAGATATTATTAGGATTTTCAATGTCAAGTTTAAATGGAAACCTCATTTGCAATTCGAAGTTTCCCTGTTTGTTTATTTTAGGCTGTTGGAAAAGTCAAGAAAACCTCTTGGTGACAAAGAGAGTGAGAGAAATTTAAAAAGAAAATTAACTTTTTAATCAAACAATGTACAGTACATGAGATTATTTATTTAACAGTGTACTTCATGTATTTTCATAAGCTGACAGTAAACATGTACTAGGCGTTCCCATATATATATATATATATATATATATATATATATATATATATATATATATATATATATATATATATATATATATATACACATATTTGTGTGTGGGTGTGGGGGTAAAATAAGATTTATATACTTCAGTTAGTTTAAGATGTATGTCAAGTCAATGGTAACTGTTTAGCGTGCTTTAGGAGGTTTTGACGGTAGTCATATTAAGTTTTACCTTGTTCCTGGCTTTGTATACTACAGCTGTTGCCCCACGCCCGAGTAATTCCCCGGTGTTCCACTGGTAGTTCAGAGAATAGCTGTAGGTCTTCTCAGAGCCGGAGGACATGACGCCTATGTTTTAAAATATGATCAAAGTAAAATATCATCATGATTATAAAACATGTAAAGCATCATTTCCATGTGAATATTTAGCACTTTGATTAGTAAATGTCTAAATATAGAATAAAAAAATATCTGATATACTTCGCATTGCATCAGCTTACTCGACCGTTCATAATTTTCAATGAGTTCGAGTAACGCATGAAATATCTGTACTTCATGCGTATAATTATACACTGTTGATTGGATGTAAAAGGATAAGCTTGGCGGAATTTACAACGCATTTTTCGGGAAAAAAAACGGTATATGACCTGATGATATTTTTAGTGAAACGTAATAAGTATACATAAAAATGGAACGGAAGTGACAATCTTGCATTCTCATACCTTAGACAATCTGCACCTGCAATCCCATCGACATACTTGGGCCCTGCTAGATACACGAATTTATCGTTAAATTCATCTTGTTGTACCACGAAAAGGTATTGATACTAACCCGGAACCATTACCATTGGATATCTTTGTTTGGAAAATCCATTTTGGGAAAACCCAATTACAGTTTAAAAAAGAAAGGAAGAGCGTTTACAAGTCTACAAACGCGAAACCTACGATAATGATTAATGAACAAGAAATGTAAATAGGCCATTAAATAAAACTACATGAAATAAACAGATTTAAATCATTACAATTTTCATTTGGTTTACATCTAACTTTCGTTTTTAAAATGTACGGAAGACAAGAAGGATCATTTTTTGATAAATCGAAGGAATATTCTCTGTGGCTTAAAATAATTTGAAAAAGAAACGGTATCAGGAAGTTTTTGATTAAGCCCTTTCATGGCAAAGATTTTAAGCATTTCTAGAGAAATTGATATCAAGATTTTAATGCATTTTTCGGTTATTTCTTGTATTTTTTGTATATACCAATGTATATATATTCTGAAATCAGGTATTGTGTAGTTTTTAAAAATGATAATAAAAATATTCTGCCAGTTGCCATGGCAACGAAATACACCAAAATCACGCACAAATTTCCATTTTTTCAAGAATGAGTTTCATTTTGGTTTTTTGTTTAGTTAAATATTTGTAAAAAGTTAAATTTTGTTGTTGAAAAATATCAGCAGGTTAATTGTATACTTTTTGTTTTTAACCAATTTTAAGTATTTTTTTTTGGTGGTGGTGGGGGGGGGGGATAATTACCAGAATTCATTTGAAAAAGGGGACAGGAATGTACTGCTTAACACCTGTTTGTCAGTAGACCAAGTGTAGTCCTCTCATTATCTTGAAAACCCTTTGCTTGACAGACAATAAACTTAGTACACTTGTAACCACTAATAAGTAGATGACCCCTCTTAATATGGAGGTCCCAAGGTCAAAAGTCAATGGTTATACCTAGATATACCATTATGTATATATAAATCATTAAATAACTCGAGAACCCCTTGTTTGACAGACATCAAATTTAGTACACTGGTTTCCCTTGAGACGTAAATGACCCCTGTAGCTTTTGAGGTCACAACGTCAAGGATCAAACTGGACAAAAGGAATATACTGTCCTCTTAATATCTTCACTACACTACTTCCCTACAGAGATGACCCTTGTTTATTTTGTAGTCACAGGGTCAAAAGTCAAACACCTTAGACACTACTGGGAAGATGTTATGAACTCAGCATTTTGAGAACCATTCGCTTGACAGACATCTTGTCATGGCAACAAGTTCAAAATAAATGAACATTTTTTTTAAATCAACAAATTTGGACATTTCTAATTTTTCAATTCATTGCAGATTAAAATTTGAATATTATTCAATGACTAAGTGGATTCAACAACAACAAAATTTACAAGTTTTGACTACTTTCAGATATTTTACATTCACTTCCAAAATTAGAATGACCTTGAAATTTTTTATACTTGAAAAATTCTACTTGTTTGAGTATACATCATGGTTCTTCATTTGAGATAAGATTTTTGAAAATAATCACAGCTTTCAGTTTAAACATTAAATTCTGAATTATTTGCTATGCCTGTATACAAGAATGCATGGTCTTTTATATTGGAATAGTTCTATTATGTCTATTTATAGACCTGTGTCATTTTTAAGTTGTATTGGTAAAGTAATGGAACGAATCATATTTAAACACTTGTATAATCACTTTCATGATAACAAACTTTTTTATAAATACCAAGCTGATATTTTGTGATCTTTCTAAAGCTTTTGATCGTGTGTGGCATAAGGGTCTCTTGTTTAAACTCAGAACTTATGGTATAGAAGGAAATCTGTTTCAATGGTTAAAGAGTTACATAAAGGATAGATCACAACGAGTTTTATACAGAAACTTATTATCTGACAAAAAAAACTTTAAATTATTATTTCCTATATATGTAAATGATGTCGCTGAAGAAATGACAAGTTTTTGTAGACTATTTGCAGATGATAACTCCCTTCAGCAGTCATCTAAAAATGTCAATACTATTGAAAACAAACTGAATTATGATCTTAACAAGCTAGAAATTTGGTCGAAAAAATGGCTTCTTAAATTCAACTTTTCTAAAACTAAAGCAATATTTTTCAACTTGAGAGGAAGTGTTAATTATCCTAAACTCTTCTTCCAGCAAAGTCAGCTAGAATTAGTCCCTTCGCATAAACATTTAGGGATTTTTTTTCTCACATGATCTTAGTTGGTCTACACATATTGATACTATTCTAACTAATGCGTATAAAAAAAATGGGCTTATTAAAAAAAACTTAAATTTGTAGTAAATCGGAAAACTCTTTCACTCATGTACACAACCTTTATTAGGCCACAATTAGAATATGCTCCCCTGGTGTGGGGTGGGTGTAATGTAGGTGATAGCGAAAAATTAGAAAAATTACAATTATGTGCTGCTAGAATTGTCACAGGCTTAACTCTGTTAGCTTCTAAAGATGCACTTTACTTTGAAACTGGATGGGAACCATTACATGAAAGAAGGAAAAATACTAGATTAACTACAATGTACAAAATTTATAATAATAATCAAGTTCCTGAATATCTGACTGATATAATCCCAAATTTGCGTTGTAATTCATCAAGTTACAGTACGAGAAATTCACATAACTATAACATACCCAAATGCAGATTACAAACCTATAAATCAACTTTCATTCCCCTTGTTATTGATGAATGGAACTCATTGCCTCGTGTTGTAAGAAATTCTTCCTCATTATCTTTTTTTAAAAAGTCTATTTCTTATAATAAACTATGCCACCCTCTTACTTCAGTTACGGAAATCGACGCTTAAATATGTTACATACAAGGCTTCGACACAACTGTGTACTTAATAGCGATCTTTTTCGATATAATATAATTTCGAGTCCCTTATGTTCCTGTGGAAGAGTGGAGGACACTCATCATTATTTCTTCTCGTGCAAAAAATATACAGAAGGCAGAAAAGAATTTTTCGATAAATTTCTGAGAATGGGAAAATTACATACTGTTGATACTCATACATTACTCTGGGGAGATGAAACGCTAAACGATGTTGAAAATGAATACTTATTTTCCATTGTACAAAAATTTATTAAAAAGTCAGGCCGTTTTGGTTGATGCAATAATTACTTCTTGCAAATTCTAAACAGCTTGTGTATTGTATAATGTTTCTCTGATTATTACGCTTTTCTGTGTTTTATTCATTTTAAGCTGAAACCCATATATGTAAATATGTTTGGTATAATTCATATGTAGGGAGATATTAAGTTTTAAGAACAGTTGTAAAGTTTATAGACAATAAAATATGTTCAAACCAATAGTTGGTGAAACCAAAGCAGTGTTGACCTTGACAAACGGGGAAAAAGGAGTGTTGGCGGGTAATAAAGTAGCGGCGCTGTGGGGCCGTAATGCAAGGTAAACGAGAAAGGTGCCGTATTCCTTATGGTCCTCCAATATAAAGTCCAAGAACTGGTAAAATTAGGTTTCCGAATTTATTATAGATGTTGGTAAATAACAATGAACATGGATTTCAACAATAGCTTACAAGTCTTAACCGAGTTGGAAGTGGCCTCCAAACTGAAGAAGGTATAATGGACATAGCTTTTTGTTAGATATAGAGTAGACAGTAATTGCATTATGACACTGGCTGAATTAATTGATGGACATGAGTGTTTCTTTGATAGAATGGATATAAAAGACATTGCTAAATATATAAACAAAAATTATTGATATAAGATTAACAGGTCCTGAGGCATTTACACGTAACGAGTATCAATTCTTTTGACAGTCAAAGTAAATTGGAATGTCTTATTCCTGCTTCAAAGAGAATGAGACACAATCAACTAAATAATAGACATACAATAATTATAGATAGAGAATTTAATAGATAAACGTCCAAATTTAGTATAATATATTAAAAAGTTATTTGTTTCAAAAATGTTAATTTTGCTCGGTGATAGATACCTAATACACATTGACCAACATGTTTATGATGTTCATGTACATGTACCAATAGGATCTACAAGTTAACATATAAATGAAATGCCCTGAAATATTGTTCACTACACAAGTGTTAGTAACAACTTCTACAACCATAAACTGTCTTTTTCTTTTCTCCATGTTTGGTACACCATTTGCAGGGTGACCTTCCTTAAGTGCTCAAGCCTGCAAAAGATATGAGGTATATCCAAACTATCCTGTACAGTCCTGTACGAAATGTTGAGGCGGTATAGGCACGGCTAAGACACGGAACCGGCACGGGTTTTTAAAATGCCGCACGGGTTCTGGATGCCCAAGACACGGACACGGATTCTGAGTCTGAATGTGAAGAATCCTCGCTTACAGAAACCCGTGTGGAGGCACGGAATCCGTGTCCCAGGGAGACGGTTTTTAATGCAAGCGGGTTTTGCTTCAAACTATTTACTTATATCTCACAACTTTTTACTGAGCATGCTCAATCATAACTTCCTTTATTTGAATATTAAATTGGAGGGATTCATGGTCATGAGCTGAGAATGTGTCTTTTTTACTCTATTTAAAGGATATTAAACTAATAGATGTCATTTGGAATTGTATTTATGTCAGTCTGGGATGATTTCATCACCTCTGAACTAAATGTAGTAAGTCTTATATAGAATAAATAAGTCATTTTCAATTTTCATGACCTTTCTGTATTGCAATGCTGACAATGAACATGATGAAATAGTCTTTGTTTATTTGAATGACTTTGGTTGGACTTTCACTATAGTCTGTCCCACGGTACCAAGGACCTCACTTTTCGCCTCATATCTCAAAATGTATAAATACCTTGGTCTTCAGATTAGGTTCGATCGATAGATCATTTTTTTTTCCAAACTTCCTCCATTTATCCGAACCCTCGAGTTCAACCGGTGTATTGACACGGCGGCAAATTCAAAGTCTACAGGGATTTAACATGGTAAACTCGTCCATTAGCGTCGAGATTACGGGGCAGGAAACCAGTTTATTGAG